CGGTTTCAAACACTGTGAGCATTTTGATATTGCAAGGAAGAGGAGGGAAGTTTCTTACTGCACCATTGAATTAGAAAAGCTATGATGCCTACCTTAAATATTCACAGAAGGAGTCCAGACTGTTGGTTTTACATTGTTGTTTTATATCACCATAGTTCCAGATGCTTACATGGCTTCTTTACTCTGAGTGAGAGATAATGAGTCCTCTTCACAGTTAAACCAACAGAGCAAACAAAATTTTGTGAGAAAGGTTAGAAAAACAATTCCATTAAGTATTCATTTGTTTAGGGCAATAGAGAACCTAATCTTCAGCATTAACCAGAGTACTATTCCAATTAATTGATAGTTTTCATACGTGAGATCTTACATGAACTGGCAATTTTCAAAGAATCTCATAGTGAAATTATTTACAAGCTGTTCTCAGAGTTGATACCAGGACCACCATGGGGAGGTGGTTGGGGCAATGGCAGGGCTCGGTGTCAGTGTCTCTGTTTCAAAAAATTCACTTGTATGTGTTATATATAATTTATATATATATATATATATATATAAATGTTTAAAATACTTTTTAAAGAGGTACACCTTTTAACAAATGGAATGCTACTAAAATATTCTAATCTTTTAATAAAACTATTCTGAGTAGTACTTAAACCTTTTTTGAATTTAAAAATGTAAATTTTTAAAATTATTTGGAATTATTGTTATAACCATTAGTTACAAAGATCATTATGAGAAAATCAGTGGTCACAGCAGTGCATGTCTTCTAGTGGTTTAAGAAATCTGATATAAACCTGTTTTTATTCTATTTGGACTTTTGTTTTTATTCAGGACAATTGGGAATTTGTGATATTCTTTCAAGATTTGAGTGCAATAAACAGTTTTAATTTCCTAGATAACTGCTTCATTTTGCACAATTTACCTGGTCAGATTGGGAATAATAAAACTTTATAAAAGTGCTCACCGACCCCAAATGAAAGTGGGAAACTACCCCGAACCTTTTAACATGAAAAACCCTCAAGAGAAAAACATGTCAGACTCAACGACTACTTAGGGCCAATAATAAATGCAAATCACAGACTTCCTTTTTCTTCTGCCACAAATGTCAGAAACGCTAGGCATCTGAGTGCATTGCATTTTTTCCCCCTTTTCTGAACAGCTCAACTTGGAAAGGTCAACATATCCCTTTGGGAAAAATCTTTTCTTATAAATTGGAATGTTTGCACACATAACTGTAGGAAATGTTTAACATTTGCTTTGATGGAACAGCAATTTGTTCAATAGAGTGGAATTGTTCTTTTTTTTTTTTTTCCTTTCCTGCCTGTTTGTATATCACAGGCCCCCGAATTACTGAAAGCAACTTTGAGGCAATTCTTTCTATGGGATCAGATCATCCTGTCCACAAAACCAGCCAACGCCTTGGGCTTCCGAAAGGCAAGCATGTTCCATCTTTTATTTACTCCAAGGGACTCATTTGTAAGAGACTTTGTTTTGAATAAAAGCAGTAATTTTCCACAGACTGTATGCTGAAACCCTGAAGAAGGAGGAGGAGGGGGAGGGGAAAAAGGAGGAGAAGAAAAAATAACTGCTCCAGGATCTCCTGGTTTTTTTGTTGTTGCTGTTAACTTTTGTACAAATTTGTTCCAGTGGTAGATAGGATATGCAGTGTCCAGTGTCCTAAACGAATTACTTTGTTTTAATCTTTTGGTGTATGTAAAGGATACACGACATTAAGACAATGAAGCAGTTTGCAATTGGTGATCAGCTGCCTCCAATTTGATAATCAACATAAATATGTGTGGTTCATAGAAAATTCATTCTAACCAGAGCACATCATTTCTGTTCATTTTGAATTGATGAAGAACAGTGCTCAGTTGTATGGTTATATTTGTTTCTGTAGCAACAAGCAGATACCCAAAACAGGCTTATAATTTTCTTAAAGTAAAAATGCTTTTAGCAATGGCTAAAAATAAACACAAGGAGGGACTTTAAGGAAGATACCAGTATCCAGGTATTGGTCTGGGCTGCACTACAGGAAGAGACTTGAGTCATCATGGCCTATTATTTTGGGACATATCCCATTACTCACCTCCAGAAATAGTTTCCTCCCCATTTTAGCCAAATCCCTCTACTGCTGACTAGAGCTGCAAGAAGTGTGCTAAGTACAAATGTGTGTGCCCAAGGCATGTGTGTAGTCCAGTAGAAATGTCCTATTAGAGACAAACCACTTCTCTCTATACTTGTATCCTTGTAGCCTGGATCCTCTCCCTTCTCAGCTTCTGAAGGGCTGCCCTTCTTCAATTAACCCTTTCTTTCCTATGTCATCAATGTTTTTCTTTTCATTGGGTCAATCACAAAAGCAAATGGGTTCTATCTCCTCTCAATATTTGAAAAATAAAACAAACCCTTGACCTCCTATCTCTGTGTAACTACCAACCACTTCCCTACTTTCCTTTATAGTAAAACTTAAAACAAATTAAACAAATTAGCTGCACATGTTTACTTCTACTTTCTCTCTTCCATTCACTTTTCAACCTGATTCAGTCTGGCTTCCATCTTCATTTCTCCAGAGAAAATGATCTTGACAATGTCATTAAGACCTTATTGTCAAAGCCAATGGATATGTAACCATTTTTGTGTTAATTTTTTTGTAGAATTTCAATACAGTTCACTGTTCTACTCTTCTTGAATAACGCTCCTCTCTTGTTTTTCATAATGCTCCATTCACCTAGTTTTCCTCCTACATTTTAGGCTGCCTCTTCTCCAGCTGTTTGGCTGGTTCTTCATCCTCCACCTCTCCAAATGGGGCAGTACCACAGGACTTAGTTCCTGGCTTTTCTTTACACTCTTCCTTGATGATCTCCCCTGTTCCCATGGTTTTAAATACTATGCGAATGCCGGGGAACCCCAACTTTATAACTCCAGCCCTGACAGCTCCCTTGATTTCACATTCATATATGTAGTTACTCTTGACATCTCCACATGGATATTGTAATAGACATCTCTATTTTATTTTCCCAAACTTGTTTCTCTTGAACTCTTTCCCTTCTCAGCAAAATGGCAGCACCACTGATTCAGTTGGTCAAGTCAAACACCTGAGTTGCCCTTAATTTTTCTCTTTTCCTTACGTCCTGCCCCACATTTAACCCATAATAAATCACGTTGGTTCTATCTTCAAGCTATATCTTTAATTATTTAACTTAACCTCTGTATCCAGTTCCACCTCCAACTGGTCATAATCTCTCTTTTGGACGATTACGAGAGAGCCCTAAATGGTGTCCCCATCTTCATTCCTTCCCACCTATATAGTGCACTCTGCATCTAGCAGCCATAGAGTCAGAAAAAGACAGAAAAACAGATTATATGTGTTTAAAGTCCTAAAGTTCATCAATATTTTCTCATTACATTGGGGATCATTTCAAACCCCTACCATGGTTTTCACCTGCAGTCTCCAGCCCCAAGGCTGTGGACCAGTACTGGTCCACTGCACAGCAGGAGATGAGCGGAGAGTGAGTGAGCGAAGCTTCATCTGTATTTACAGCCGATCCCTATCACTCACATCACTGCCTGAGCTCCGCCTCCTGTCAGATCAGTGGCAGCATTAGATTCTGCATTATGGTGAGTTGCATGATTATTTCATTATATATTACAATGTAATGATAGAAATAAAGTACACAATATAATGCACTTGAATCATCCTGACACCATCCCTCCCCACACCTCCATCAGTCTGTGGAAAAATTGTCTTCTATGAAACTGGTCCCTGGTGTCAAAAAGGTTGGGGACTGTTGGTTTACACAGCCCTATACGAACCAGCTTCTTGTCTACTTCTGCTGTCTTCCCCCTGCCCCTCACTCTGCTCTAGCCACACTGACGTCATTCATGCTCCTATCACATGCTGAGCTCTCTTCTGCCTCAGGGCCTTGGCGGTTGTTCTTTTTGTAACATTTTACCCTGTATCTTCCCACGATTGACTCTTTTTCATCCATTGGCACCAATGTTATTTCTTCAGAGATGTGTTTCCTTACCTTTACCCCATCACTCTTAGTCAAAACACCTTGTTTATTTTCCTGAAAGCACTTACCACTATCTGAAACTATCTTGTTTATGCGTTGGCATGTTCTGCATCTTTCACAGACAAAGAAAGTAAGCTCCTTGGGGGCAGAAACCTTGTATATTTTCTTCACTGATCTATCCAGTAAAGTGCCTCGCTAGTACCTGAGTACCTAATAAGCTATTTATTCAATTGCTGTTTTTAAACTTCCGAGTATGTGTCAGTTTAAGTTCCTGATACATATCTGTGAGCAAAATAGAAAACTGATCCCTGCCCTCATAGAGCTATTTCAGCAGGGAAGATGGGTAATAACCAAGACCTCGAAAGTAAAAAAGTGCTATGGAAGAAGAGTTTCTGAATGAGAACTTAGGATGCTCTCCAAGTCTCTTCCCTTTATGTGATAGAGGAGAAAAGGCATTTGCTTTGCAGACACTTGAAATCCTAGCTTGGGGAGATGAACTTGGAGATCCTGAGCAATTTTCCTCTTTGAGGTTTAGCTCCCTTATCTGTAAAACAGAATACCCACCTCATAAGGTTGGTGTAAGGAATAAATGAATATAGATCAAATATCATCCCTTCCCAGCACCCACCCTTACCCTATCATTCCAAGGGAAGGAGAGCATATGGCACTACCAATTTCTCCCTCCCCTGTACAACTACCATGCTTAAAAATTAGCCCAACTTCCCTTAAAAAAAAAAAAAAACTCTATACATGCTTACTGAATATGTGGACAAACAAGTATATCAGTAATTTAAAAGGAAACAAATAAAAGCCATTTTATTTAGAAATGATGCTTTTTGTATCACGGTGAGAAATCCTCATCTTTCCTTAACAATTATTTTTCCCTCTTTCTCATTTCTTAATTCCATTTTATAGATCCTTATTAATAAATATAGAAGATCTGCTGTTTGTTTAATCTTTCTTACATGAAGAAGTAAACTCACAGACATTATCTTAAAGGAGGATAAAACATTTATTTAGATGGAAATACTAATCTTTATATTCATCATGCTGAAGTGTGTGATTACAAACAATTTCCAATAAAACACTATATATAATAAGCAAAAAATAAGTTAGTACAATGTAAACTTACATACAGTTCCCTTAATTAACAGGTTTAAAAACAAACAAGCCATTTAAGACTTTGGAGCTACATTTAGTAAAAAATTGCAAACACTCAAACCTTATCAACCCCAAGTAAGACACTAAAGAGCTATTCAAGACTTCTTCAAACCAATTACACAAATACATTTTTATTTTTGGTTACAGTCCCCTGCTATGCACAAGACCATTGGAATGCTGGAACAATTACACATTTTAAAACGGCACAAAGCAAAGCAAGGAGATAACATGCCAGCCTTAGAGAAGCTGTCTTCAAAGTGCAAACTTTGCATTTTCTCTTCCTGAACCACTAGGATAAGAACGGGTACCTCGGACGACACGGCAGGGTCATGAGCATGCTTTCTATACCATACTGGTGGGACATTTACTGGAACCGGGTCTCCATGCCTTTGAAGATACCTCCAGTTTTAAACAGTGAACAGGCTTCAATGAAATATAGTGCAAATCAAATACCGAGGAGCAAAACGACAGAAGAGAGACCGCCACAGACCGACCTCCTACCTGGCACAACCCACACGGGACAAATTGGCACACGGTCACAACAACTTCTAAGTTTTGATGTGGAAGGCGGTGCGGCGGAGGGAGTGCAGGGCAACCACACAGCAGCCCCGGAGCAAGGCTCCGATATTATAGACAGGATCTGTTCCCCCCCTCTGAGTACTGAATGCCCACAGAACTGTGGGGACCACGGGGGCAGCCACAGCCAGGAGATCCACCAGGAAACTGCGGCTCCAGTACTGCTTCACGACGCCCCCATGAGAGAGCGGGACGACCCCATCCAACCTTTCTTCTGCGTGGGCTGCAAAATCCAGCTCTCGCATGAGGCTGTTTGCAGGGGCTCCCGCCTCCACCTCCACCGTGGCGTATGCGGTCTCCACGGGAGACAAAAGGATGGCTGAGTTTGGATTTCTCGGCGTCAAATCAACCACCAAGGCAGAGAGGGACTCTGGGAAGCTCTCAGTGGAGTCAGGCCCAGACTCATCGGGGGATGCGGAGCTCGAGGGATAGAGGTCCCGGAGATGCAGCATGTTCTGAATGAGCTCGGAGACGGCTGGGCTGTAGGGCACCACGTCGGTCTGCACGGCTCGCTCCACCGCCAGGCCGCCGGCCTCCAGACCCGCCGCGGGGAGCGGCTCAGGGACTTCAGCCCTGGGGGCGGAATGAACAAGCTCCAGGCCACCAGATTCCGTGGCGGTGGCCGTCACCATCTCATCAAACAGATCTGCACAGTCGGCCGTGCTATCTGCCACCAGCAGCTCTCTCTCGGCCCCTTCCTCGGTGACCTGCTCTTCCAGAGACAAGCCATCTGCTATCTTGCCAAGCGGGGGGTTCAGGGCTAAGCTTTTCTCAGGGGAATCGCATGGAAAGTCCAGGCACAGTTCATCCCTCAGAGAGCCATTGTGCGCCATCTCCATGCTCTGAAGTAGAGACTCCAACTTCTTGTTTTGGATGTTTATGTCCACAAAGTATTTCTGAATGCCTTTATCTTTATCAGCCAAGCTGCTCCTCATGGTTTCAATGACCTGTTTGAGCTGTTTAATCTCTTTCCTGGCTTCCTTGAGTGCCAACTGGGCCTCCACCCGGTGGCATTCTTCCTCAATCCAGTCTTCTCGCATACGGGCCAGCTGGGACTTAAGCTCCACGATTTCAGTTTCCCTGTGCCAAGACAAGCATGCTTAAAAACAAATGTCAACTTTGAACCAGGCAGCAAGCAATCCTGACACACAGCCAAGAAAGAGGCTATACTTTTCCTCTTGAAGGATAGATGCTAAATCAGTTTTGAAAATTTTTTCTTTGGCAGGTATTAGCCATGAGCTTTCCCCCTAAAATTGTAAAATGTCTAAAGTAGTAATAGTAATCAGATTCTGAATCGTAATAGCTACCATCATTTCCTTTTCTGAATACTCAGTATGAGTCAGGCAGTGCACTAAGTACATTATAAGTTTATCTTCTACTCAATACATAATATTTGAAATTTTATTATTAAAACACTTTAGAGTCTCTTTTGTCTTTTAGAGATATTTTATTTTTATTTTAGATATATTTTAGAGTTGCTTTTATCTCCATAGCCTACCTGTTCATAATGTTTACAAACAGTTTGTGGGGAAAAAAAGGCCAGTTTACTTTTAATTATCTATTAAACACAGAATGTGGACTGAAAAGTTTTACCTTTGCAAAACTGTTCTGATTTTATTCCAATGAGAATTAAACATTATTGTTATATTATGTAATGCATATATATGTATATATAATATAATTGCATTATATTATATAATGCTACTTATTGCAAGGACTTTGTGAAAAGTTGCTTATTCTATTTCCTTTCAGGTAGGATGATTGTCGAATTCATCCTACACTAAGGAGAATCTATCCTGTTTTTTAGATCCTTCACAAGAAAGTATTTCAAGATCTTTGTTAAGAAATTTGTTCTTACATACAGTTTCCTCACAGTCAATATAAATGTATGTCCTTATATTACCAGTGGATATGAAGACCAGGCTGTCAGGATCCTCATATATATAAATATAAAGAGATGTTAGTATTGCTTCTTTAAGTTTGGGCTTGGATATTTTCTCAAGTTTTGTTGCTTTACCATTCACCATTCCTCCCTGCCTTGAATGCTCAAATCGTCCCATGGATTCTTCAAAGCATAAACTAAACATTCCAGACAACAGAGTCTGACTCATCTTAGAGGTGACTTTGGGTCTCATGTCTACTTCAGGTAGACGAGAAACCAAATCAACTTAGAAGATGGAAAATGTCCCTCCTTACAGCCTGCACCCCAGTTTGCCCACGGTTTTATCAACCAAAGTCACTGGGTCTTCTCCATATCGGCAGAGGAGGAGGTTTGGGCTCATTAGGCAGCCATGTACTGAATCAGACCTCAGGCTCCCATTGAACCCAAATGCCACCCCTCCCTGAGCACACAGCTACCCTGATTAGAGCTCTCCTAGGCTGTCCCTAAATGTTCCAGGGGAAAACCATCAAGAAGAAAAACTGGCTTGCCCCCAAGGTGCCAAAGGTCCTTCTCTCTGAGATAAGATCTCTTACACATGGGCTTTTTTTGTTTGTTTGTTTTTTTCAACCTTAACACTTGGCCAAGAATAATGAACCCCTCCCTTCAGCACAGAAATAGCCTGCAGGAATCACAATGCAAGCAGATATCCACTCTTGCACAGATAAACAGGGCTTAATTGGCCTATTGTGTGTGACCCCTTCTGCTGGAAATATAGGACTGTTCCTGTAAGTGTTTCTGCCATTTAAAAATAGTCATGCACACACCCAATTCTTCACATCAAAGCTGTGTATACCCAGAAAGCCGCTTAATCACATAGAATTATGAAATGGCTCTCTTTTCAAAGACTGATTTTAAAAACTTGACAACAGTTGAAATAAAATCATTTTTTCCTTTACTAGTTTTCTATAGTTTGGGTTCACATTTCATTTTACGGAAAAAGAAACTGTCCTAAACCACACCGAGCAAGGAATGCAGGTTCACCTCTCATGAAGTCGGCGCTCAGACTCCTTCAGCTTGGTCTTGAGGTGTCTCACTGTGACCTCTTTCTGCTGCAGAGGAGTCAAGTACTGCTCCGGATTTGGGGGTCTGACACCATGATTTTCACCACAAGACATGTACCTTCCTGAACGCCTGAAACAATCCAAGTAATGAAATGTTACTTTTGACCCTGTTTCCTTTTCCATATACATAATGTTATGGATTCAATGTTTGTGTCCTCTCAAAATTACGTGAAGATCCTAATTCCCAAGAAGGTGGGGCCTTTGGGAGGTGATTAGGTTGTGAGAGTGGAGCCCTCAAAAATGGATTTGTTTCCTTATAAATAAGAGGAATCCTAGAAAGCTTTCCAGCTCTCTCCTTCCAGCTCACAAGGAGACATTAAGAAGCTCGCAGTCTGCATCCCAGAAGAAAGCCTTTCCCAGAACCAGACCATGCGGGCACTCTGATCTTAGACTTAAGTCTATGGTGCTCTAAAGATTTGGACCAAAGTATATAGTACTTTGTTGTAGCCACCTAAAGTAAGACACACAGCTAACAGCTTGAGAAGGAATGGCAGCTGTGTGCTGGGGTCTTAAACCCCAACAATTGGTGAACTCCCTTCTGAAGGTAAACTGTAATATACCTGCTAATCTTAGGAGTACTCATTATTTGGAAGACTGAGGGGTGTATATGTGTTTGTGGAGGAGGTTGGGAAGGTAGAGAAGGAAAATTTTCTATGACTTAGGAATGTTCTCATACAAAATAATGCACATTTGTCTATAGGCCAGAGCTGTCAGTTCAGAGTAACATGTAGGACAAAGAGTGGGAAAGGTGGGAGGGAAGGAAGGGAGCGAGACGACTTAACTTCCCACACAATATGCTACTACTGTCTAAAGATCCTGATTGTTATTAGATGAAATCAAATTGTTCTGATACCCATCCCTGATGTGAGTGTGCTGATTTGGTGGAAATGGAAAGTTTCCATTGTTCCCTTCTTCTGCAGGGAACAAGTTCCTTCCTCTACTCCACTCTCACCAATGTATTTTGCAAGAGAGGCGCTCAGTGTTCTACAAAGCAGCCCTCACTGTAATCTTGGCCCCACTCAGGCCTGGCCAGGAGCTGGGCATCCCTGCTATAAGAGAGCTGCAGGGACACCCAGAAGGAAGAAGCCCCAAAGAGGAGGACTGCCAGCTCCTTCCTGATTCTAGACATAATCCCAGGAATTGTCGCAGCTGGCTCCCAAATTGTCCAGTGTCTAGTTCCCACCCTCTAAGGACTCCTGTCGTGGCCCTTCTGGATGTGCAATTCCTTCTTTCTGATCTGCACCCACCCCATACTATTAACTCCTTGCTTGCCCTTCCAATCTCACTTCCTTTCACTTCCTTAGGGAGGCCTCACCCATCCCTCCAGACTAGCTGGGCCCCTCCCCACCCTTCACAAACTCTTAAAGCAACAAGTGCTTGCAGGTAATTTTGTTTTTGTCATTAGATGGCTAATGTCTTCCTTCTCCTCTGAGCAGTAAGCATGGTGGCCTTCTCTGTTGTTCACTGCTCTCCTCCCAGTGCTAAACATCGTACCTGGGACTCAATAAACCTTTGGCGTTGGCATGGTTGATTGAACACAGATAAGATATTCCTTGTTCTGAGGGGAATTAGTAGGTTCCTCCTACTGCCATCTGTGCTGTTTTCTCTCCCTGCCCAGGAACTGCCTGGACTCTTGTACCTTGTTAGAAATTATGGCTTGCACCCTTCCTGTACCAGCCCTTGAAGGATTAGCTGAGTGTGGGAAAGGAAAGACAAGTGTCTTGTTGCAGAATAAGGCAAGGGATCAAGAATTGTATACATTTTTTTTTCCTTTTATAAGAAAAGCTTACCAAGCTTTCTAAGACACATGGAATAGGAGGTGAACAGGACTCACCTCGTGATTGGGCTGCAGTCACTTCCTTTGTAGGAGCCTGAATTGCTACTACTTGGGGAAGAAGGTGCATAACTGGGATGGTTGTTTACGGTGCTCAGCTGATTCCTGCACAGCATGGAGAGAAGGTCCTTTCCCCGTGGGGAGGGTGGGCTGCTGCCAGACTTGTAGGATGAAGCTCCATTACTCCGCCCATGAGGACCTCGACTGGGAGCAAAGCATGCAAAATGTTAAAATGCTTGGGGCTTAGAGATGCCCAAGTGCCAATGTCTTACTTCTCAAAGCTAGTTACTACTAAGGAAATTCAACTGATGGAGCAGAAAGGGGCAATATATTAGTGCAAACTGTCTATTATTATTATTACAATTATTAGTGCACTGTCCTCACAAGCAGCTTTTTTCCCACCTGCCCAGTATTTTCTCTCCCTGTATCATGAGCAGAAGAAACCTCTTCCTCTGTTGTTCTTTCAAATAGTTTCTGACCACAGAGCTTGTTTTGGATTAAACCCAGTTGCGTGCTAAGAACATACACAATGTGAAATGTTGACTTGGCTTAGGTTTATTTTGGAGGCTGTTTTGAAGATGGGGTTTTTGTTCCAGTACACCTGTTTCAGCTTAGAAACATTTGAGTTTGGTTCACATTGGGTTAAGAAAATTAAGGAGGTTCATTTGGAGGATGGGTTGTGGGAGGAGGAGAGGAGGAGGAGGAGGAGGAGAAAACAGAACAGACAAACAGAGCCCGCCCGTGTAAATGGATCAAGTCTACAGTTTTGACCACTTAACTTTTCTTTCCTTTTGATCCTCAATGACTTAACACAGCTTTTATCATTTAACTACTATTAAATAGTTGTAACAGCCCCTTCTTGGTTCTCCTGCCCTTGCCTTGCCCTCAGCAGCAGGAGGCTGACCTGTGGCTGCCATTACCTTTCTAAAATTAGAGTATCACTGCCCTCCTCAAAGCCCTTCAGTGGTTCCCACTGCCTCCCAAATGAAGTCCAGACTCCTTGCATGGCTCACAAGGTTCAATCCTACCATCCCATCCAACCCCATCCTCCACTCCTCCTCCCCCTGTAGTCCAGCATTCCAAATGACTTACAGTTTCTTGAGGGATCCATGCTTTCTACCAGGTTTTTGAACTTATAATATCCTTTGGCTAGAATGTTCTCCTGCTCCCTTTGCTAGCTGCTGGATAATTCCAGGATACCTCCTACTTCAAGACTGATGGGCACCCACTCTAAAAAGCCTTCTCTGAACTTTTCCCTAGGCCAGTGCAGGTGCCACTCTTTGGTGCTCCCTAAAACTCTGTGCAAACTTTCAGCATGGAACTTATCTCATGGCATTTCAACTGTATACTTGCTTGTCTTTCCTGCTAGACGGGGGCATCCTTGAGGGCAGGAATACAGCCTGTTCTTTACATTCCCACTACTTTATGGCACATGGTAGTTGCTCCCTAAATGACTGATGAATAAACAAATGAAGTTTGAGTTCCTGGCACTGCCATTTACTAGGAACTTAGGCAAGGAAGTCACTTAACACATAGGGAAGGAGATACATACACACACACACACACACACACACACTTTTCCTTCCTTTCTCACAGAGGTGATCTGAAAAATCAAATCGAAGAATGCATGTGAGTGCATTCCATAAGCTGTTAAGTGCAACAGCGTAGGTTACTATTACAGGATAAACTTATTCTAACTTCACTCTTAATCTAGTTCCAGAGATCTGACACCCATAGTATAAGTAAGCATCTTGAGAATGTTGAAATTACTAAAATAGGATAACAGTTCTGTGTCAGGATTATTACTTGGTGGAATTGCAAAAAATAAAAGAGAACAAGATACCTTTCATATAGCAGTACTTCTTTTTAACAATCTCCTCTTTGCAATTTTAATTACAGCTGTATCCACCTGACACATCTCAATGAGATGTGTGTAAATGGGAGTGCGAGAGTACATGTGGGTATCCTTGGCTTCAAAACTATAATTACTTATTTAGGCCGGGCGCGGTGGCTCACGCCTGTAATCCTAGCTCTTGGGAGGCCGAGGCGGGCGGATTGCTCAAGGTCAGGAGTTCAAAACCAGCCTGAGCAAGAGTGAGACCCCGTCTCTACTATAAAAAATAGAAAAGAAATTAATTGGCCAACTGATATGTATATAAAAAAATTAGCCGGGCATGGTGGCGCATGCCTGTAGTCCCAGCTACTCGGGAGGCTGAGGCAGAAGGATCACTCAAGCCCAGGAGTTTGAGGTTGCTGTGAGCTAGGCTGACGCCACGGCACTCACTCTAGCCTGGACAACAAAGCGAGACTCTGTCTCAAAAAAAAAAAACAAAAAACTATAATTACTTATTTAAAATAAAATATAATTTCAACTGGCTGTCAACCTGGCAAATCACACATAAGTAAAACATCACCAAATTCTAGAGTTAAAAGTTCTTTGCATTTGAAATCATTCAAATGAACTTTTTTTCCTTTTCCTGAGAAGGGGACACTTTATATGGAACAGATGGGCTGATGGCTTTGTGACAAATCAACTTCCGCAGCGCAGGGTAGGAAGAACTTCACGAGGAGCTAAAAGGAACATGTACCCTGGCTTGGAGTTTGTTTTCCATGCTTCACTTCTAAGTCTGGCACCAACCAGACCAACATTCTTAATGTGACTCTGAGAAATACGGAGGATTAACTATTACAAGTTAGGAGAGAACGTAAAGAGCTGTCCCTAGTGTTTGCTTGGGGAGTTCTAGTCCAAATTAACCTTCACTGAGGACCTTCTGTGCCCCTAGCGCTGGCTGTTCTAAGCTGTTTCATGAACATTATTTAGAAAATAAATTATTAGACTCTTTGTAATAGCTTACTGTTAAAAAACAAACACACTTAAAATATCAGTTCTGTTCCTTTCATTTAGTTTAGTTCAAACGCTAATGTATGTAAGATACAAATTGTTCATGGATGATGATAAAAAACATTTTCAAAGAGGAAGCTGGGATTCCATGTTTGTCAATGCCACACTCCTCAGCCCACTCTAAATCCCTTGGTCTGGTGGAAAAGAAGAACGCAGTCCACAAAAAGGAGAGGAAATTCTGCCGATCCTGCACCCTTTTGCAGATCCAAATATAGTAACTGGAAAGTAAGAGGAAAGAAGTGAAGAAGGAAACCCCATGGGTGACCCACGTGAGTATCTATTCCCTAGCCAGGGCACTTTACTATTCCTGTCACCACCACCATCATCACCATGAAAACAGTCTCACCAACTCTACCCACCCCAAAATCATATACTGAAGCCCTAACTCCCAGGACCTCAGAATGTGACTGCATTTGGAAATAGGGCTTTTAAAGGAGAAAATTAAGTGAAAATGAAGCAGTTAGGGTAGACCCTAGTCCAGTTTAATTGGTGTCTTTATAACAAGAGAGGATTTGGACACAGACTGTGAACAGAGGAAAAACAATATGAAGATAGCCATCTACCAGCTGAGGAGAGAGCCCTCAGAAGACATCAACCTTGCAGATACCTTGACCTTGGACTTCCCAGCCTCCTTATTATGAGTAAATAAATTTCTGTTGTTTAGGCCCTCCAGTCTGTGGTACTCGGTTATGAAGCCCTAGCAGACGAATATAACCACCACTAAAACAATCAATGCCATTACAGTCAGCAGCACCACTACTTTGTCTATGAGCATTACTTTTACCACCACTGACAAAAATAAGCATTTATGGACCTTTTACTAAATTCTGGGCACTATATTGAGCACTCACACATATAAGCTCATTTAAGTCAGTGAGGCAGATGCTATTATTATCCCATTTTCCAGAAGAGGAAACTGAGGCTTGGGGTCATAAATATAACAAACTGACCTCAAGCCCAGTTTGACTCTAAATCCCAAGCTTTTTTTTTTTTTTTCATCCTCCCTATCCCTTCTATCTGCTTCTGAACAGATTACGGTTTTAGTTTATTAAAGAGAATTCCTTAGAAATATCAGCAGAGGTGGCCTTCTATTAGATGAGATAATTTGTAAGTCTTTAGAGTTTTGTTTATAAAATCACCTGTCAAAACAGTCTCACCAACTCTACCTGTTCCTCATATCTCCCACCCAGGAGCTAATTCTCCTGGCAAAAAGTCATTTACCACAGGAGGGACCAGCCAATTAAAGGATCTCAAGTTACTACATAGTTTGGCATAAATTAAAAAAAAAAAGTGAGGATAATAGATAGCACATAACCAATTTCAATTTTTCCATCTATTAATTTTTGTTAAACCTTTGAAATCTATTATTGCTTGGCTACGATACATTCTAGAACAAGCATATAACCTATTTGCACATAATTATTTTTAGCTATTTTACATCAATTTTGATGACTTAAAGATACCATAAAGTCCAGACTATAATTTTTCCCTAAGTCCCTCTGTATTATTGACATGACCTTGAAATTTAACCACAAACACAAATTCCTTTGAAATACTTAATAAAATTGGCTTCTTTTAGAGGTCTTCCTTTCTCTTTTTTTTTTTTTTTGCTTCTCTATGTTCTTTGATACCTTGTACCATGGGCATGTGCTAATTTCTTGAATGAGATAAATGGTTTATTCTCAGAGCAAACAACATCTGATTTATACCGAAAATATATTAATATATCCATGCCCTGTAATCTCAGAGGCACTTTATTGGCAAAATAGGTGGGGTCTGAGGATAGAACAATTGTGGTTTTTTTTTTACTGTGGACTTTGCTCTTTCATTACAGGTTTGTCTGGCTTCAGCTTTATTTTTAACAAAAAAAGGACCCCGGGGGTCTCAGGTCTCTTTATAAACATTGGCTAAATTTTCTGCTTACCCAAGAGAAATAGGAAATATTTGCTTGCCAAGTCCTGGAAATGCAAGCCTGTAGAATCTAAATGGTTTTTCTCCAGAAAGGGACCTTAAAAAATCATTTAGTAACCCCCTTTTTACAATTTGGACACTGTGCCCCAGGACAATCACGTGACTTGATAAAGACGGGAAACGAGACATCCCTAGGTGTTGTGGCTCATTCCACTGCTCCTTGAGTCCTGCTCAGAGGCACCTCATCACTGCAGCCTCTTGGGACTAGCCAATCTAAGATATACCACACACCCCATTACTCTCTATATCCTTTCCCTGCGTGTTTGTTAAAATAATTGTATTATTTATCTATGTATTGTCTTTCTTGCCCTACTAGAATGAATATAATTTTCATGGAGTTTTGTTTCCTAATAGCAGCTGCTCAATAAATACTTGCTGAATGAATAAATAAGGCCAGTGGTGGCAGGCAGAGAATCCTGGGGCTTATAACCCTTCCCATTAAATGTGAACGGTGGCTCCCATTTTCCCATAGTCCTCCTCTCCCTCAACTCAAATAGCATCAATGGTGAACATTTGTTGATGCTTACTATGTGCCAAGCACTGACCCAGACTTTATGAGGTGGACCCCTGTACTGTACAGAGGAGAAAACTGAGGCATAGAGAAGTTAAAAAAACTTGCTCAGAGCCATACAGTCTACAGACGGTGGTGCTGGCATTGGAGCCAAGGCAGCTGGGCGTCAGAGCACACATATGTAGCAAGCAGCGTGCTCTGCGGCCTCTCCCGGTGGTGGCCACCCACGCCCATGAACTTTACACTTTCTTCTCTCCTTCCCCAGGTATGTGTTGGTCAGGGGGTAACTGCTTCCTTCACAAAGATAAATAATGGAAGCCCAGCCAGAGGAAAGAAAGGGAAAGTCAGAGGCTTCACAGCCAAGAGACAATAGATTCATGAAGGGGAGGCAGGTGGGAAGGGCTTAGTACCCCAGAGAGGACACAGGTGAGTGAGGGAGAGAGAGAAGGGAGAGGAGGAGGAGCAGACACAGCCAAAGGCTGGACGAGAGACAGCCACGGGAGGACAAACACAGGCGAGCCCATGACCACAGTAGGTAAGGAAGGGGAAAGTACCAACTTTAAATCAACAAAAAAGCCTCACTGATTAATAATAAAATATGAATGCACAGTAATCCGGGTGGTTCTATGGATGCACAAGGTACAGGTAAGTCACCTGTGTAAAGAGTCTTAATGACAGAGTAGGAGACAGTGCCTACTTGCGTGGAAAAGAAGACCGCTTGTTTCCCGCAGTAGACATATGGACCTCAGGAGCGGAAATGCTGCCCGTGCTGCTCGAGGAGCTAAAATCAGCTTCACTACCTGAAAAACAACAGGGGAGAGAGAAGCGTGAAGGAAAGGAAACCTGAGAACATGCTGGCCGGTGCTCTGCCTTGCAGGTCCCTGGCTCTGTGTGTTTGCACACGCTAGCTCAGCAAGTGCCAAGATTCCAGAGCTTCCAGGCTCTCCGCGTTTCCCTCAAAGCAGACAGGAGAAGGCACAGCACAAGGATATCATTTCATAAGTACAGCTTAGAAGCACAGAAAGGCTGGTTTCATAAAGAGGCCGGTCTCCCAGCAGACGACCAACAGTGACCCAGGTGGGGGAAGAAACGCACGGCTCTCCTGTGTGGCCAGCCCAAACTTCAAGCAAATGGAATAGCACACTCAGCAGTCCAAATGTAGTTTCTCCAAGAGAGTTTATTTTGGGCTTTTGTAGTCAGGTAGTCAGACTTGACTTTGGCACGTTACGTCCAGAGACAGTCAGTGAGTTAGAGGCAGTCTATCTGATTACTGACTTCTTCTGACTACCATCTTCAGTTTTTCTATGAAGAACAAAGCCTTAACCAAAAAGCAGGAATTTAACATTTCCAAACTTAATGACAGTGATGGAATCTGTAAATTATACTGAAATTTGGAATTTTAGCTTTGGGGTGGGGCTGGGCCTGAGGTTGTTCGTTAGTTCACAAAGATCACATTACGAGTACGGACTAGAGTTGAGTGTTTAATTATAATAGAAACATGCTGTGTGGTAGAATAATTCATATTAATTCATTCTAACAAAAATACATAATTCTAAAATAGTAACAGTGGAAATATTCCCATAGATTGCCTGGGGAAGTAAGGGGAGGTGGAAGAGGCAAGATAGAACAATAGCAAGGAGAAAAAGTGGAATTTTTTTTAAAAGATGAGATTTCAATGAACTTTTAGAAAATAAATCAAGGTATACAACTTCATTTGACCCTGTTACTCAAACTCCTACAAAACACAATTTGTGACTCTTCTGGTCTATAAACCAGAGCCAGCTCACATTTCTGAGCTGAGGAAAATATGAATAATCTAAATCCTTGAGTTTCTAACAAGCAATGCACAATAAGTATCATGATAACTATTTATTGAATGCCTACTAGGTCTCAGGCCCTGAATGAGATGCTTTCTATTCTCTATGTCATTTAATCTTGACAACTTTGTAAACAGACATTAATCTCACTATTCTGCTATTGAGGAAACTGAAACTGTTTTGCCCAAAGCTTATAGGTGATGAATCCTGTCCAGGACCAAATCCTCATGCTACTTCTTCCATGCTATGTTTTGTCCTCAGGAAGGCAGTGGAAAGAAGCTGGGGAACAGAACAACAGGAGAGATTCCTGAATAAACTAACTATACATTACCATCTCTCTGACAAACCAGGATGAACCACAGGTACAAGGTGCAGCCAGACTTTGGCCCACTGGTGAATAGATTCCTCTTTCTCATGGGTTTTATTAGTTTTGCCACAGGGGAAGGTAGGCAATGGCAAGGCAGAATGAGAAAAATCCCTTCTCTGGATTCCAGGACCTCTTAGGAAGTCCAGCCTCTTCTCAGAAAGAGATCAAGAATGACCTGTTAGCCAGATGACAGCAGTGGCTCCCAGTTCCCAGTAGAATTCTGGGAAGGTTAGGGTAGCAATTTATCAGAACTGAGACCAGCTATTCCTTTTGCATTTTAGAGACTTTGTTTAATGATGTAATGAGCTCCTAAAAGCTCCCTAAACCTAATTAGTTGCCTCTGAGTAATGCACCGGCTAAACAGTAGTATTTTACAATCTGAAGGATTCATGACTGTAGTGCAATCCAGCAACGTGCTGTTCCTGACAGCCTAATTCAACCAGCCTTGTCTGCTAGTAAATTATCTGGTTGATTATTAAATGTAAAGGTGGGCAATTTTCATAAATAGATTCTGTGGTTACAGCCACTAGGTTTAAGATATTATTTTCTAATGTGAAATTATTACTCTGAAACACTCAGTTTTTATTCCTTAAGACACACACACAAACCAATCAATTATAATTTAACTGCCTGCATAAAACCAGAAATTCTAGAAAAGGAACAGATACTGAAAATCCATTATTACCTCATGATGCTTTTGATCTGGGGTAATAATGTTCTCCAAACTAAAAGGGCAACTTTGTTCTATATTTTATTGCTACTGGAACTCAATAAATTGACTCAGCATATTTGCAGGGCCTAAGGTCACTTTGTTCCAGTACTTTTCTATCTTATCTTCTGCACATCCAGGGGACCCCGCAGCTATACTCAGGACTATTTGAATAATATGATAGTGAAAAATGCATGTGCTACTTCACAACTATTTCAGTTTATGATTTTAAAAGCTACAAACTATTTTCAATTTAGTTAATGCAGTATAAAATAAAGTCTTTTAAAAGGATACACAGGAAAGCTAATTTTAATACATTATCTGACATGTTCTTCTCATTTAGTAAGCAAATAACTATGAAAAGACTGGAGACTTGAACCCCCACCGCCATTTATCAATTTGTTGGCAACAAAGATAGAAAGAAGGAGAGGCACTCTATTCATTTCCTTTCAACAGTGTATGCAACTAAGGTATTGTAGGTGCTGTAGTTCAATGTTCTATTGGGTTACTAAAATGACACCAGAGAGTACTTAACCTAAAAAATAGAACCTGAGTCAGATGGGCTGAATTCAAAACCTACCTCTACTGATTACTATTAAATAAATAGAGAACTTTAGGCAAGTTGCTTCATCTCTCAGTGCCTCAGTTTCCCAGTCAAATGAAGATGATAATCATAGCAAATGCCTCATAAGATAAGCAATGAGTACGTGTGTGTGTATATATACACATACATACATATGTGTGTGTCCACATATATATGGAGAAAGACAGAAAGAAAGATGAAAGAAAGGAAGGAAGGAAGAAAGGGAGGGAGGGAGGGAAGAAAAGAAAGAAAGGAAAGGAAGGAGAAAGAAAGAAAAAGAAAGAGAGAGAGGGGGAGGGAGGGAGGGAGGGAGGGAAGGAAGGAGGGAGGGAGGAAAGAAAGAGAGAGAGAGAGAGAAAGAAAGAGAAAGAAAGAAAGAATGAGCGAGCAAACAAACACTTAGAAAATCACTTGACTCATCATAAGCTCTCAGTAAATGTTAGCTGTTATTATTATCCTACAGGGGTTAAAAAGACAGTTTTCATTACACTCTACATTTCCTTCATGTACAATTTAGAGAACAGCAGTGATAAAGAAGGAAAAATATAGTCTACAATTCTGTCACCAAAAAAGAAATACAGTTAATCTTTTGATATATAACTATTCAGCATTCATACTTAATACATTATTACAAAACCTACTTAGTTTTTATCTTAATAAAGGAGTATCTTAAACATACCACATTTTATTAAATCAATGAATATGTAGGCTATTTCCAACTTTTCTATTATTAGAAACAAAGCATGCTAAGCATCTTTTACATAGTAACTCATATATTAAATATTTCTCATGATAATATAAATCCTATAAGGTAGAGACAATTATCATTCTCTTTTATGAATGATGCAGACAGAAGGTGAATGACATGTACAACTAATAGGAAGCAAGACTGGAACCTAGGCCATTTGACCTTGGGGTCCATGCTCTTAAACTTGAGCTTAAAGTTCAATGGATATCCTTGGGCATATCCTCATCTGCTGATCTCCTAAAAGTAGGATAAATTCCTAAAAGCAAAATTTTTAAGTCAAAAAATATGTTCCATTTAAAGACATATTCCATAGAGACTTGGGGATGGCACTAACCTATGGTAGTTTTTGTGGTCAAGAAAGTGCTTGCCCTTATCTGCCTGTGTGTAGATACCCAATTAGTAAATCTCTGATGTCACTGGGAATATTCTGGCAAAGAATGGGAAACTATTTGGCCATTGAAAAGCTATGCTTGAAAAGCTGAAGGGAATTAAAAATACACATATCCAAGTCATCCTTATCAACACTGTCTTTGTTCCTCATCAATATTGTTGTCTTTGATCGGCTGCCCTGGTTGGAGGAGTGGGATTCTAAGACTGAATATAGAGGATGAATTTGATGATTTTTAAGATACCCTGTGATGCCAAACCTTTTGTGACTATGCATCCTGCAGAAGGTATTTTTCTAACTATCAAGAAGCTATGCCCAGTGGCCTCTAGAAGTTCTGGTGTATTTTTGTTTGATAGTATTGCTGAACTCTTTTTGAGAGGTGTTACTTTTATTTATAACATTAGGGTAATAAGCAGTCTGTGCATGCATGCTAAGGCTGGGGAGTTAAAGAAGGATGGAAATAAAAAGAATTTGTGCCAAAACTGATAACTACGCTTATTTTTAAAACAGTACCTGCAATCTGGTCTCTTAGGACATTGTTAGTTTTGCCTGCTTTCGGGATACTGTGGAGTCCTCATACATCAGAACATCACAGACCTCTGAGAACAGAACAATCCTGCCATCCACTAAGCTGTATTAAGCCATTCTAAACCACTGATTTAAGTAATTCCAAACCCTCCTTTATCCTTTATCACTGTAAAGCTATCAAATTAATTCAGGTTAGCCACCTATATCCCTACCTCAAATAGAGGCAGCAAATTAAAAAAAGGAAAAATAAAAATGGTTCCCCACCCATTCATCTCCCATTCGCCCCCCATAGATATACAGATCTTTTATTTAAAGGTCTCTAGGGAGGAGAAAGGAGCCATTTTCACATGGCTGAAGCCAAGCTCTGTTATTAAGGAGCAGCTGGAGCAGTGGACACATGCAATTATGGAAGACACTATTAAAAGAAACTACTCTAAAGTAGATTCAGTAGAATTGACTCTTAGCTGCAAAGGTTTGGGGGGATCTAGCCAAGGAATCCAAGAAATGCTTCATAGCCAAAATAGGGTTTTGGTTTTTTTTTTTTTTACTTTTTACAAATTACTTCCCTGAAGTCCCAATAGGTGCTTCTCTCAGAAAGGGAATATTTGATCAAAAGATCAATAAATTGATAGAAGGCACATATACAGGTTTTATTGCATT